GGCAAACCAGGTCCGATGGGCGATATTGGGCATTCGGTAAGTGGAAATTAGTTTAGATTTTTTTTGTAAGATAGAGAATATTGCATTTAGAAAAATAGACATTTTTTCCTATAGTTTGAGGGAGTTCTTAGCAGTTGTTAGCAGTTGAATCTTATTTTTTTTTTGTTGCTAGAATAAAACTTGAGGCTGCTTAAGCTATAAGCATCAACTTATCAAAATCGTACTTAAGTGCGGATGTATGTTTTGTTGAATTTGATAAAAAAAAAGGTTAGCTTGAAGGCAGATTTGCTTAAATGGCTTTATCTAAGATCAACCTATCCTCAAAAATGGGGCGTGTTTAGTTCTAAAGTCAACAACGCCCTGGTGGACCCCGAAAGGATCCGCTGTCATATTTTCATCAACGCTGACGGCGTGACACTCATCGTCAGAGGCAGTCTGCAGTCTTGTTAACTAAAAGAAGTTAGGTGCGTGTTACCAAGCTTCCCTAAATCAACAAAATTTCACTTGTGCTCCCTGAATATGCCAAGCACTTGGGCGTTATCCTAGAGAGCAAGCTATACTGGTTGCCATTTATTGAAAAGCTCTGCATTTAGTTAATGACCCATGGGAAAGATGCATGACCCATCTTAAAAGGAAATCTATTCACTTCATGAAATGCATATCAGCACGATTATATTTTAGGTGGTCATTGTTTATAAAACGCTTCTCAGGCAAAGTTGCTGAAGTCCTTCCTGGCCGGTAGTCGACCGTGGATGGTCAGAGACGCTTTCTTAGCTCGGTAAGCGCCATCTCTTGATTCTTACAAAATTAATGAACAAGGGAACCCATTCGATACGACCCAGTATGACTTCGAACGTATATTTCCGTAGTTTTTAGAAGATGACGAAGTGGATTAATCTCAGCATTTTTTTCTCAGTGACATTGCTTCGATACTACCAAAAGTCTCTTATGAGGGGACATCATATATTCCTGTCATAACTCTATACGGTTTACCTGCAGTTAACGGTCCACGAAAATACTATATTAAATACTAACACAATCAATAGTTAGCCTTGAGTCAGCTGCTCGCGGAACTGCCTTGCATAGCCTATACGAGCAAAACTCACGAGTTGTTTTTTTTAGTGTCACTTCCTTCTCTTGCAAGTAAAATAAATGCTAAAGCATTATTTTTACATATATTTCAATCAATGGAGTTCCAGAAAAAAGTACAATAAAACATAAATCAAGTATTTGAACAATTTTGACCTTAAAATGTTTATTTAGGCGAAAAAATACCGAAATTACTTTGTTTTGTCACTCGAAAAAATCATAATTGTTTTTTCTTTTTTTAATAACTTTGGGAAGTTTTCAAACAGATTATTAAAATTAAAGGCAATGGACGTTGGCATCAAATACAACATATCTGTGAAGTTTCAAGAGTGTGCCACCAAACTAAAATAAAATGGCGGTATGCGGTATATCTGTCGTAGCTATTTTTTTGCAATGTTACGATTTTGTTTTTAATTTTAGTAATTTAGAATACTTGAAAATGCTAAAACTAAACGTTGAAAATGTTCTTCTTTTAAAACTACCGAATGTAGGGTAATAAAACAAGCGTGCCGCCAAACGAAAATAATTGCATTGAGTGAAAGATGACTAGTATTAGTTGAGAAACTAAAATTCCATTTTTACAATTTTTATTGGCACACTAGAAATTCATTCATTGTTATATACATGACGAAAGTAATAAATATACGCATAGAGAGTACTGTGTAAAAATCTTCCACGCTAATATTAAATTTTTTTTTTAAATAATGTGATTTTTACATTAAAGCGTGCGAGTAAAACTGTTAAAGGGGTGCGTATGGTGTTACGGGGCGTATACGTTACATACACAACTACGGGTATAAGAGTAAGGGCCGGTTTCTCCATCTCTGGTTAACACTAACTCCCCGGTTAAACATTGTTATCGACGTTCTAACTCCATGCATATAACAGGGAGTCGATAAGGTCGGTAACGATGTTTACCGGGGGATTAGTGTTAACCGGAGATAGAGAAACCGGCCCTAAGAGTGGTCGTTTTTATTTTTTTCTAGTATAGATTTTTTAGATTTTCATTTAAATACAATTTCGCGATGAAATCTAGATATTTACACAAAAATTAAGACAATGCCTTTTTAAGAAAAATGGTGGCACATTTTCGACCAAAAACAAGTTGTAGTCGAAAAACGTAACAACTCATTAGAGCCTTCACCATGAGTTTATTTTTCATCTACCCTTTAAACATACAGAGGAACTACTTTCAGCACCTGTTAAAAGTACATATTGATCCATAACTTTTCAGAATAACAGCAGATATTTCGTGCCACACCTATGTATGCTTTCTTGAACGGCTTTAAAGGCTTACTCATTCGCCCTGTTAACGCTAAACAACTTGCTGAAATTTTCATACTTTATATTTAAGTAAAGTACCCTGAATCCCAAAGAAATGTGGCTGCATTGGCAAAATAGAGTCGCAAACTGGTGAAATATTCATATTAAGTAAAACAAGTATACTCCACTTTGAAACAATTGTAACCACCAATGCCGCCAAAGTATTTTTGTGCTACCCATTGCACAATTCCACGCTACTCGATTGCGAAATATTCTTGCAACCAAGCGGTTATGCGGAAATTTGTTGTTCCATTTTCCTCTGCTCTGCGGCTTTGATTCATTTTGACCTTACCTACTACGTTCGTACTTTAAGCAACAAATTCGTGTATTTCGTTTCTTTTAAGCTTCGCTCCTCTTTGGTTTTGTTGAAAACTTTCCATTGCTGTTGGCTACAAAGTCGTTGGCGCTGCTTTTGAGTGGTTTGGTAAAATTTTGTTTTATTTTATTTTTTTGCATTTATTTTGTAGCAAAACTAGGCCATTTGCGACAATGTGTATGACAACTTTCAGAACAATTTGTTTTCTTTGTTGATAATTGAATGTTGTTAGTAACAGATTGAAGGAAAGTAAAGTCTTCCTGAGACATTTTAAAGCTAATTTTATACTAAAGTTATAGTTTAAATACTGTTTACGTTTAAGAAGGTGTAAGTCACCTAACAAAGGCAAATTTTTGTCGTTTCAGGGGCGACCTGGACTTACAGGACCTAAAGGTGACATGGGCAACAAAGGACAAAAAGGTGAAAATGGCGGACGAGAAGGGGTGAGTAACATTTTGCAGCAACTAACATGTCTATTGTTCATTATTTTTTATTTAGTTGTAGTAAATATGTATTTTTAGTTGTGAGAGAAAGTTTCATACTTTCACTCGGTGATGTACTATGTAGCTGTCCTTGCGTGCATCCTTCCTAAGTGACAAGTCAGCACATTCTTCTTAAGCGCGTATCCCAGCATTAACCTGCTGAACCACTTGCTATTATAAACGAAGTTGTAGTGGTCCTAAAAACCTAACTGCGAGAGGCTGTTAAAGAAGTTTGAAGGCAGGCAAAGCCTCAAATCTTTTAGCCGAATTTTTAAATATTTACGATACTTTTTTCTAAAAGATAAACTAAAAAATATGAAACCACTGTAAGAGTATATAATAGACCTGCAAAAGGCAATAAGTGAAGTTATTGTAAGCTAAGCATAAGGCGATTTGTGTCTATAGCTTAGGTGACAGAGTTATGGGTCTTGCGCTTAAGACATGGCCGCCCAGAACACTGCAGTGATACACATTACTTGTTGTTAAACAATTGTTCTTATATTACCTTAAATCAATGAAATATTTATTTTTTTAAATTTTTTTATGCACGATCAATTTTTAGTTGAAAGCCGTTTATATTTTTCATTCAGTTTTTGATCTACGAAAATAAAAGGCTTTGAAATTTATTAAACCTAAAAATTAAACATTTTTCAATCATCATAAAAACACCATCTTAAAAATAGCTGGCGGAATAAAGAAATATTCGACATTTGATAGCGAAAATGCCAGAAGTATTTTTATAACCACTTAGCCTGCACTTAGTTTTAATTTTTCATAAAAGTTGTGTATAAGTTGACTAAATTCAATTATCAAATAGGTGGAAATCCTTTTCAAACGTATTTTCAAGCTAAACCCTTTTTCAAACACGTGACAGCCCTCCTAAATAAAGGCAGATATAAAGCCTTTTCAAACCCATTTCGATTGATATCCATCTCTTGATAATTCATCTAATTGACAAAGTAATTTGAATGTAACTTTTTAAACAGGTGGCAGCCCTTTTACAACCTTATAAATGTTGTAACTAAAGATTTTTTAACACTCTATCCTCTGACATCCGCATTTTAATATTTCATTTAATTTGTATATACATAAGTTAATCAAATTCGACTTTAAAAAAAACAGGCGGCAACCGTCGTTTAAAGTATTTTCAAGCTAAAACATACCCAAATTTCCTTCGCCTAGAATGATGATGAATATTTTAAATAACTGCTGAATGAAGTTGAATTTTGATTTTTTAAACATGTGGCAACCCTCTAAACACAGTTGAGAAATAAATCCTTTTCAAACCCATTTCGACTGCTACCAAAATTTTAATAATTTATATAACTTATTAAATAATTTGAATTTAACTTTGTTAGTATTCAAACTAACCCTCTTCAAAATATTCACAAACTATCACCTTCTTGAAAACTTTTCGTCTAGCGCCCACATGGTGATACAAATGGGTCATTCCATACAATATTTACACCTCAATATTTTTTTTTTTTGTGAAATATATTTTTTTACATTCTTTATCAAAAAAAAGAAGATATCTGTTATTTTATTTCGTCACGATATTCGAAAATCTCGAAAAAATCAGTTAAGGTATCAAAATGTGCGTAATTAATTACCTCGGCTTTCCATGAGAGTGTGAGATAGATTTAAAAAAAAAATGTATTTTCTATTTTTTGTATTAAATAACTTCATCATGTTTGATTTTTATATCATTGCGGAATTCATAGAAATAATTAATTAAAATACCGCGGACCAAATTTAAATTGTAATGTACATTGTACGCAGTCTGGTTACAGTTTAGAAACGAATACGTATTGTAATGAGCGCCCGAAGAGTATTCGGTCACATTATACTTTCCGATTACAAAAAGAACGAGTATGCAAAAGGACGCCATCCACAAAGCGGACATGCTTATAGAAAAGTAATCTGGATTGTAATCCATTCATTCCGATATATCGCCTTCGAAGTTTTGAACGATTATTCGATTACGTAATGTGCATTTGTGCCGCTGGAAAGTCCCTATTTGCTTGTTATTGATTGTGTCTCGTCTGAAAAGAAATTTTGCAACTGCCCCATCTGGTCTTCTCAGGAAATGGTTACTTGCTTTGTGGGTATCAGTATTTCATCAATGGTTTTAATGAATCTTTTTCAATAGAGCCTTGATATACCTGAGAGTTTCACGCAACATTTGGCTCTATAACGTAGTCTGGTCCAATTAGACGCTCGCCAATTTATCAGTTAGTTTTTTGGACTTTATCATTATAGTGTTCCAGTACCTATGTAATAAGTTCAATGCACATAGTTCAGCCCGAACTTATATTAGTTGACAATCTTTGAAAAGATACTAGTAATTTTCAGGGCCTCTAGAGCAGCTTGGCTGTCACCCCTATTTTATATGTATCCGCTCAACCTTGCTCAAACTAAGTATACAGTCTACTAAAATTCAGTGAAGTAACCATGCAGAAGCCACCAGCTTTCACTTTTAGTCCTGGAGCCATCTGCAAAGAATGCTTTTACCGAGCTATATAGAAGAATATCTGGATCTCTTGTGGCAAACTTGTTCACTTTCTTCCAAAAAATACTACAGATATCAGTCGACACATCGTCTTCAGTGCTTCCTCTTGAGTAACAAATCAAACAAGGAATTATGAGCCGCTGCTCTTATACTCATAGCGCGACTTTACATATTCTTTCATCACCTATTTAACATAGAAATTGTGGGTTTTACAATGGTGCTACACTACCATAAATACTACAGAAGAGTTGAAACTTTCAAATTTTCCTTTTCGTATAAATAAGACTAAATTTTTGATTTTTTGGTAATCCTCTATGAAAGATTTTGCTGATGACTTGTCTAAAATACATATTATCTATAATTTCAATGTTCGGTAAAGTTCAAGAAAGAATCCCAAACTATACAACTGGATTAACTTTGCTTTTAGAGAGGTAATAGGTTACTTCAGCTTGGCAACTTAGTAGAGAAACCGAGACTTCTTTTCCTGTTATTTCATAACTTCGAATTCGAGCCGCAAGTATTTTTCACTAACGATGAGGATTTATCTGTTTTAACCTATACCGGATGGAGACCTAGCTCAGTTCATACTTATTTTTCATTTGAATTCTTGTGCGAAGAAAAAGATAGTTCCTGCTTATGAACCCAATTTCACACAAACTCGTATTTGTAATATTATAAATATTCTTGCTAATATTTCCATTTACTCTTTTCAATGCGAATAAATACCACCCCCGCTAATAAAACTTTAATTTGAATATTTACGTTTATATGTATACCTACATACACCAATCTTTTATCCTTTTATAAGATCAAATTAGCATTTTCTCTAAAAAGAGAAAAGAAAAAACCAAACCAAAACTTCCCGTTACTACAGTGCCAACAACTTCTCTTAGCTTCCTGCCAATCACCAACTACTTTGTGACTTAATTTAAGCAATTAGGGTTATCACTTAGAGCACAAAAGCTTGCACACAAAATAAAATTCTCACTTATTAAGTATTTCGTAAGCAAAACTTTAGCCGTAAACAAAAATTTTGTTGTATAAACAAACCGGCAAAGGTAAGCAACGACCATTAGAAGAAGCGAAGAGTTGCAGTGCAAACAAGCCGGCAGCTGACGCAGCGCATAACGAACACATCAACAAAGTGAACGAGCGAAGCGAACTTAATAAATGATTTTAGCGCTAATGTTGACCCCAATGAATGCAGCCAAACCCATTTTACTTGTAATGCATTCCTAAAATGCTATGAATATCTATCTTCCACATCGTGCAACGTGCAAAATGAAACAACCATCCGCAGTCATCGTTTTAAAAAGCAAGCGCCAGCAGCAAGGCGCCAAGTAACGCTGCTGGCCAATACGCGCGAGTACGTTTATGTTTTGGATGCATTTGTGAGCTAAACTGATAGAGACTGCCTGCCATCTCTCTTGCTGAAAAGCAAGAAATTTTTATAATAAATTTTATAACTTTAAAATTTTTGAATCTCTTTAGCCAGTAGTGACCTCAGAATGTATTGAAATAATTAATATCTTCGACTCTGTGAGTCATAGAGTTTTTTTAGAATTACATTAATTATAGAAATTTGTCTGCTTCCTATTTCTGGTCACTTATAAAAATTATGCAGCAGCGAACTAGGGCCCAATTCTGTTAGTTCTGCCTTTTCTGTCTGTCTGCTCACTAACATTTTCGCGATTAAGCTGGGGACGGACAGCATTACCAAGCGCAACTATGAAGAATTCATTGACCGGCAAAAGCGTTGAGCAGCACTTAAGCCAAAACAAAAACAAAACAAAACAAATTTTTGGTTGCGAATAAAACTTGTTGGCACACATACATAATCACAAGTACAGCTGTGTGTGTATACATGCATATATATAAACCTAAAAAATTTATTTTGTGGTAGAATTCGGCGAATTTCAGTCTTCATAAAACAGTGAAAGTTTACGTGAAGCATCAGTTATATATGTACGGCTGGCAGGTGTATTTTTAGAGTGGGAATTCTTTCAAAAGTTTGGTTGAATACCATCTAGGCTGTGTTTCTTTCAATTTAATTTATAACTTGTATTATATAATTTCGATGATTACACATACATACATATGTATAATTTTTTCATCTATAAAATTTGATTTGAAAGAATTCTTCAACTGTAAAATCGTGTTAATTACTGTAATTATGACCTCAGACACGAATTGACCTAACAGTCCAGGCCACGGAGGTTTTTTGGTGGAAAAAAAAAATTGATTGATCCGAATTGGTTCGACTATCAACTGATTTTTACCCTGGGATTCAGTAGTTCAGTCTCATCTCAAGTCACTCAATTTGAGATTAGCAATTAGTGACTATTTTTGTGACTTGAGATGATTTGGCTATTCAGTAAGAGAGAGTCACAAAAAGTTCACCAAAAATGTGTGGTGAAAACAAACCCAGACAGTCAACTGATAACGTTTACGT